AATTACATCGTGTTGCGAGGAAGTTAAAAAAAAAAAAAAGGTGAGAAACCTCTCCACACAGCTCTCACTGTAAATCAGAATGTTCTCTACAGGTAACAAGAAAGGAAGCCCTCCGATTTTATCTGGTATCTGATGCTTGTTGGATCTAATCAGACGTTGTCACATTCATCAACAGAATCTCATTCAGAGGCCAGGTTGCAGTGCACAAAGCAGGCCTTTGAGGGGGGGGGGGGGGAGAAACTCGTCTCAGACGCACCGAGACGACACAGGTGTGAGAGTAACTAAAAAGGAAGCAGAGAATAACAGGTGAAAAGCAGTTTCACTGTTTGCAGACTGCTGATTCACGCCACTACCAAGAGATAGAGGGGGGAGGGGGTGTCTGAAGTTTCATTATAAAAACTGAAGAGGAGCAGACAGCAAACACATCAGCATCATCCTCCCTTCCAGGGACCATGACAACAGAAACAACAGTATCAAAAGGTCAGGAATTCTTTTCTCCATGACAGACAGAGGGGCAAACAGAAAAGGGGGGGGGGGGGGGCATTAATTGGGAGCGTTGCTGGGTCGTTGTTGTTGCTGCTGTTGACACAACCAAGATGGACAATGTCCTCCGTTTTAAACGAGGAATATTAACAGCAAACTCTTTGACGCGCTGGATAGAAATGAAGGATTACAACTACAGGACAATGACGGAGAGAGACAAAAAAAAAAAAAAGAAGAAGCAGGGACAGAATCCTTTCATGTCTCATTATGAAGAGGACATCCAGTCCTGTGTTGTATGATTCGTTTACTGAGATGAGGAATGACAGGAAGAGGAAGAGCACGACTAACACATTCTCCTGCAGGGACTGGTATGAGGGCCCCTGTACTTTTCCTATTTCGAGACTCAGTGTTATATTTTGTTAAACTGTACTTTCCTGAATACAGTACAACAACAAAAAAAAGACAGACGAACTACCCGCTTTGTCCTCAGGAGGCGCCAAAATCAACACAAACCAAAAGTTCCTCACAGGAGCTTTAGTTGAATCAAGTCCTCAGTTTAAGGACTGAACTGCACAACATGAGCCTCTCTGCTGACCTGAATACTGAAGTGGAGACCTTTGGGATCATGATTCAGGGCGCATTCACAGTAAGCAAATTTGTCCCGTCCGTTAGGTACACATTCCCCCGCTGGCCTGCACTCACACTGCTCCAGGACTAACCGGGTCTGAGCACCGTTACCTCTTGTACAGAACGTCGTAATACAACACATGCATGGCTTTACATGATCAGGAAGTGTGCTTATCTTTACAAGACAGGCGGACTCCAAAATAATAAAGTCGAGTCGGCGACCGCACATCAGACAACATGACAGCTACTTTACACACGAGTCAAACGATCTGGACTTTAGGGTGCTCAGGCATGGTATGGATGGCTTAGTGCGAGTGCGCCCTAAGGGCTCTTTATGCGGACAACCCTGTTGTTTATCTATCAACAAGTTGACGCCCAGATGTGAGTGTTACAGTTCAAACCCTCTCTCTTCTCCAGTGGTTTTCAAAAGGCATTCTGCAAAACATGAATTAGAAACGCAAGGAAGTTTACAGGCTACAATAAAAAGTCAAATTATAAAACGGAAAGAAGGTGGAGACAAATAAGTGCCGGGTGGATTTCTATTTCAAAGACTTGAAGCTGCAGCGTGAGCAGCCGAGAAGGAGGCCGAGAGAAATACTGGCAATGCCAACAGGCGTACTGGCATTAAACTCGCTAATAAAAGGGGAGAGGGCCGGTCCGCCCCGAGCTCAAAGACTGCAGTAAGCACACAAACAGACCGCCTGCATCCATCCAAGTGCCATTTCCCAAGGATTCACAAACACACAAAGGCTGGCATCCAACTCCCACGCTCCGCACTGTGGGCCAGTCCCAAAAAGCAGCTTTCCTAGATGTGTGTGTGTTTAAAGTGTGTGTAAAGGCTATAAATAAGCTCTGACCAAGTCAAAAACTTCCAACGTTGGATTTTTATCTCGCTTGTTTCATCCCTGGAAATTTAAACAACTTTTTCCTATCGCTCTCGTCTTTGAAGCTCGTAATGTAAACACCCAACTCCAAGGGTAAAGATTATTTTAAGCAATGGATTATGAACAAAGACAACGCTTTGCTCGCCGCGGGGCCCAAACTATTCATTTTCAAGCACGCTGATCGTGGCCTACGTGCGCAGGAAACAACCAGGGTCAGCTGCTTACGATGCACCTGATTCAACATGGAGACAAAAAAAAAAAAAAAAAAAAGGAAGCAACATCCGAGCAGAAAGGGCCGACACGGCAGGAACAAGACGACTAAACGCAGTATAATGGCCATTCTTCGGCTCTATCGACCTGTGACGACTCACGTATTTATCACGCATTCAAGCTGCGATTGTAACAAGAGATCCAGGAGACAGTATTGAACCACAACTGCAGGTCCCATTTGAAACAATGTGTTAATCTACCTCACGACAAAGCCACACAGTTAAACGGTTAAAAAACAAACAACCCATGTTCCCATTTCTTCAATTAGACAATTTCCCAGAAAATGCAACACACTGGCCGTTAATAGACAAAAGGAGGATACTGAAAAGAGGAACTGAAATAGAGGAAATTACACAACTGATAATGACACATGACGAAAACAATCTGTGCTCTAACAAGGTTGAAGAATCTGGATTTCCTACACTGTATGGACACTTAAACGCAACATGTGCATCTTTTTTTACAGTGTATATTCACAAAGTGGTATTTTTTCCCCCAAAAAAGGTGCTTTAAATGGATGTTATAGCTGTGAATGCATGATTAAAGAACACCCCGGGCTTTAAATGACACTTCTGTCACGAAAGCACAAACAAAAGAGCTCAAAAAACGCAACAGTGACAGTGAAAGCTCCTGTTTGGCTTCCCAGTTTCCCTTCTCCATAAATGCTGCAGTGCACCGCCGCCATCTTACTTCTCTATTCTCCTCTCTACTCTACCTTCTGACTGAAATATGTGGGGGGGAAAACGTCACCAATGGTCGTTTTTAAATGATTATGGCATCGTCACGAATTCATTTACTTCCCGGGAGAAAAAAAAACATGTTAAAAGTCTTAATTGTAAGGCTATAAAGCGTCTTATTTACTTATTTAAATCTCCCCAAACACACCCACTCCCTTATATTTAGCCCTCGGGATATGAAAAAGGAGACAATACACTTTGCATTAATTCACAGTAACTAGTTTAGCTTAATTAATTACGTGCAAAAACACGTGTTAGACAGTTAATATCCGGGTATTTCAGCTGCACAAAAAGGGTAAATAAATTGTTGAGCAACGCAAAAAAAAAAGGGCTTTGTAAGGCTTTTAAATCAGGGAGAGGCTAGTTGTTTAGCTTGAAATGGACACATTATGAGCGCACCATTCAATATATGTTGTTTTAAATTCATCTCCGTTGTCTCATAGTCTCCGTAAATCACGAAACAGTGGGAAGAATCTGGTTATAAAAACGTATCCGAAGGGTTTTTTTTTAAAAAGCAGCGTCAAGACATCCGGAGTTACTCGCTACTTTTCCGGTGACCCCTTCAAAATAAAATAGAGGACAAAAATTGGCAGAAAAAAATTCAAGCAATGTTACGCATGTAACAGAACGTAAATGCCGCTTTATTTTAAGACATTTAATCTGTTATAAATCACAATTTGGTATCTTTTTCTTCCCTTTTCTCACCACATCAATTTAATCCGAATATTGTGTCGCAACCACGTAACTTCCGGTTGCTAACTGACGCTAGCTTTATCAAGCAGCTTCAATATGGTGGAAAATACTACACATTCCCGGACAATAAAAAAAAAAAACACAATGATTTTCTTACCTCTGCAGCCAGAGATGAAGCCGCTAAAGCCAGCAGCAGTAAAGCTACTCGTTCCCCCATGTCGTCTTCACTGACACGACGCTCCTGAAGGTATCTCCGATCGCTTTCACGTTTTTCGTCGACTGAGAGTCTGCAGTGAGTGCGGTGTGCTCGGCGCCGGTGACTCCGGTTGTCTGATTATAAGCGATACCGAGGCTGCACAGCTGCTCAGCGCCGGATCACCTGACCACAGCTGAGTGGGATTAACACACACACACACACACGCACGCACACACACGCACGCACACACACACTTGTATCTCCTACACGCAACAATAGCCTATTGCACATGTTTTACTAAAAATAAAAAATAAAATAATAATTATAATCAACGCATGCGCACACACTCAAGTAAATAAAACCCTTTCAATAAATTAAAAAATTCTATTCGCGAAAAATATTTAATTTATGATCACAAAAACAAGAGAATTAAGTCTACATTTCACAAAATTGTATTTCAAATTTATTCTCCAAAATTTCATCTTTGATCCCAAATTTTGACTTCTTTTCCTACATTTCTTCTCAAAGTACATAATGTGGAAGAAAAAAAAAAATCCTCCTATCATTATTTATTTCTGATGTTTGGCCCTAATCCTCTTCCATACTTTCATCTTTGAATAAGTACGGAAATCAACAAGGGCCATACCAAAAAAAAAGAAAAAAGATAGAGACATGAAAATGGGAGTATTTCTTTAGCAAAATGTTCTGTAAAATAGTTCCAACAATGTTGTATAATTTTGAAAATAATTAGTCATCTTTCAGGGCTCTAAATTGAAAAATCAAGTTAAAAATCAGTGATGTAAAAATCAATTTTCCAGTAAATAAAATCAGAGTTGTAAATTCAAGGTCATAATTCTTACAAAAAAAATCAGTATTCTGGGATTAAACTCCAGATTTCCATTTTTATAGTCGAATAAAAATACTGTAAACTCTGCGATATGAATCAAAGTTGTGTTTTTAAAGTAACATAACTTGTTTGAATGTTCAGACGTGGCTCTGATCCGACTTGTATTTATTCCCTTTTCTATAATCAACGTTTTATCAATCCTTAAATAGCATTTCATCTGACACATGCTTCACTTTCATTGTGTTGAAAAACAAACGTTCTCGTTCAGCTGTAGGCAAAATTAGTTTAATTCTCACTCAATGTATCGTTTCAAGTAAGGTAAAAAAAAAATAAAAATAGTTCAATACAGAAACACCATCATATCTACTCGTCCTTAAAGTCAGTGTCATGATTCATTTATATTCAAGTCTCCGTGCCTCCTCACCACAGGTCCAGACCCGACGTGTTTCGACACAGCGTTAGTCATCCACTTCCACCCTGAGCCACTCACATAACTCCACTTTTTTTTTTTTTTTTTTAACTTTCCAATCAAAGCAGAGTGGACGGTGTGTCCTGGGACGACTCCTCTCCTCCAGTGATGTATGGTTCCTCTCCACGCTGACAGAAACGGTCTTCACCTCCATCAAAGCGGCGTGGTGCCTTTGATGTGCACAGGCGGGGACGGCGAGGATATTGGGATGTTATTAGCAAGTGAAAGTACGAGCTGCAGGCTAGCGGGGCTGCTAACAACTTTCTTCCAGAATGTGGACATGTTTGGGTGCTCTCTTAACCACCATGGTGGGGATTATGCTCCCCCCCCCCCCCCACACACACACACAAACACACACACACACACACACACCAGTCAGTCTAGATTTAACTGCCATGCAGAAAAAAATACAGTGACATTTACACCCTGTAAACGCTGGGAGTCTTTGCCTGCTGAAACATATTGCACTGGCCCACCTTTTCTTTTTTTGTTACGGACCCTCTGAACTGTCTTTAACCCATTTAGCGACAATCATAACCACGCCATCAGAGCTTCCTTTAGACGGTCCGGTAGATGAGCTGGGCTCCTGGGATTCACTTGCGGGTGCAGCCAGGGTACGGAGGAGGTGGGGAGTAGTTGGCCGGCGGGGGCTGAGTCGGGGTGTAAGGTGGCGGGTGCAAAGAGGGCGGGTACATCTCGTAGTCGTAGGGGTACGGAGGAGGAGGACCTGTGGAGCAGAAAGAAAACAAGAAGGAGGATTTGATTACAATTTCTTGTAAACTTTGAAGTTTAGGGTGAGACAGGGGGCCTGTTGTTGCCATGCAACAATTGCACCATCTTGTGGCCAAATTTGTAAACTGCACCCTCCACTGTAAGTGCTTTGAACTAACCCAGAAGAAGAGTTTTAGTGTGGGAAAGAAACCTCGGATAAGACAATCAACGAGAACACCTCCTGAAACGACTTCACTGATATTCTATAAAACAGTCACATGGTGTCTCACCCTTTGAATGAGAGGTTACTTTAGACCTTCTGATTAAACAAAGGAAAAGGAAGTGTGGACAACAGGAACGAGAGGAACACAGAGGAGAAATCCTTCCTGCATCTTATCCCATTTGTCCTAACAACGAGTCCTTTACTTGCTGTTTGAATGTAACCCTGCTTTTATTTTGAAATCGAGTAAGGACCTTTTGGTAGACCGAAGTACTCAATACGGATCCAAAAAAAACAACTACAGTGCACGGTTAAAAAAGGTGAACATGTGATGTCATAAGGTGGATATTTTGCCCCCTTGTGGATTATCTTTGCACTGCATGCATCTGTTTGCATTCATCAGGTTTTCAGGACAAACGGATGATGTCACAGCGAGTGTCAGAGGTCTCGTAAACATGTGTTTCACTCCGTTATAAAACCTCGACGCACCGCTGCTGAAGTCAAACTGGTGACTGATGTGATTTTTGTGGCAGGAGAGTGAAAGCACAGAGTACGAAACAATCTCTGTCAAAAGATGGAAATAATTCATGCCACTGAAGCTACATACACATGCATTCACATTGCATGTCTTTGTGTTTATGAAACACGATCAGAGCGGCAGGGCAAGACAGAACTCTGCCAGTCCAGTGTGGCATGACGGCGACCGAGCAGAGGAGAAAGAAAGGTGATAAATAAATGATGAGCCCCAGACAGAAGAATAATAAAATTGAAAAAAAAGGCTGGAGAGTGTCGCAAAGAACAGACTGATGTGAAGACAATGTACCTGAGAGTACAACGTGGGAACACTGTCACAGGTTGTCCTCCTTTGAATCAGGAACAGGATGAAACAGAGGTGAAATATGTAGGAGGTGGTGAGGCGTGTTTGTGTCGATTGTTGTAAAGAAGCCGCTCGGCCTTTGCGTCGAGGCCGAGCTGGATCCTGAAACATAATACACCTTTTCTTTTCATTTCATGTGTGGCCGCCTAGAGGACAGCAGATAAGGTGTCAGCGAGGCAGAGTGTGAGACAAGCCTTCATAAACGAGCTGGACACAGTGCATTAGGATACAGAAGGTACAACTCATGCGTTCAGACGTCTCAGCTCAGTCAGAGTTTATCAAAAAAGTTCATCAACGTCAGGGTCTGGATGTTGAAAATGGACCTGAATCTACCTGTTTCTGTTTGGTTCGTTTCCTTTAAATGTGTGTACCACGGGCTCGACTCTGCTTTTTCATCAGGGCGACATATGACACCCTGCCCAGCCCCCGCGATCTCCAGCAGCAAGTTGAGGACTGAGATCTCTGTGGGGCCACCGACAACTCCCTCAGGCGCCGTCTGTCAGGCTGCGAACTCGCACGGACACAAGCTCGGCTCAGACGGGGCGACCACGACCTGCAGCTAACAAGTGTGCGGCAGGCCACGAGCCCCGCAGGAAGACACCAACTGTTTAACTGATTCAATATGTTGGCACTATTCAATGACAAGTAAAACATTAAAAAAACACTTTAAAATCCAACCTGTGGCTCCTTTCCCGCTCTCTCATTTCCAACTCTATCCACTGTCCTATCTCTACAATAAAGGCTTCCACAATGCTATGAATTCTGGGTAATACCCTCACAGATACGGCCGCTTATGGACAGGGTGCCTAAAGTGCTCGCACACTTGACGATTGGACAGCGGGACAGACCGAGTGCTCTTCGTCTACAGCAACACCTGACACCCCAGCGAAGGTTCAGGCCTATGAGGCACATGACCTGAACCCAAGGGTGACACCTGCTGGACTAATTAGTGTCCTACACTTTATAACTCCTAAATACTTTCTGCTGAATCCTAATGACACATTTTCACAATAAAAATGAATGAATGGGGCAGTGAAGTTTTGATGGTTTAAAAAGAATCCTTGTGTGTGTGTGTGTGTGTGTGTGTGTCCTCTGTAGACCCACCTGGGTATCCCTGGGTCACAGCGTTGATGTAGGAGGTGCTGAAAACGCCGACTCTGGCTCCCCTCCCGTTCTTCATGCACATACACACACACAGGAACAAGGCCGCCACCGCCCCCATCAGAAACACCACGCCGAACACGATACCGGAGATCGCAGTGCCCCTGCAACACACACACACACACACACACACACACACACAAACTGTGAGCCACCCAGTCGAGTGCGAGGGGAGGCAGCTGTCTCCAAAAAAAACAAGACACGTAGCTGCCGGCATGGAGACGGAGCGCAGCATCAGCTGTGTGATCTGTTTGTGTGACAGAGTGTGTGTGTGTGTGTGTGTGTGTGTTCACTGCAGAGGAGTCTGTGAATTAGCACGTTAAAAACACTCATTAGCAGGTTGGTTACGTCTTCAGCATTCGTCAGAGGGACAGAATTGAGAACATTCAGACTGTTCCAGAGTTATTTCATACTTTATACAACACCAGAAGTTACAAACGACAGAGGATTAACGTGATCCCCCCCCCCCACCTCGTGCTTTAAACAACTACACAGCTCATTTCTAAATATTCTCAATGGGATTAATCGACAGGTTGTTGCCGATTAGATTCCTGCACACGGCTTAATTTGAATTGAAACAGGAGTCAGCGCGGAGGTGAAAGTGTCAAAGCAGCTGTGCTGAGTCCAAGCAGGGTCGAGGTCAAAGATCAGATCCTCTGAAGGGGTTAAAAGAGTTAAAAAGACAGCTGCTGTTGAAGAGTCAGAGCTTCTTAATCAATGAATCAGTGAGCGCACAGAGTCTGCCTGTGTGCGTGCAAATGATTCTGGAAGCTGGCCACCGTCATTCCCCACTCTATCCACCGTCCTCTCTCTCAATAAAGGTGTAAAATAAATAAAAACTTACGAGAGGACGTCGCCCACGTAGGCGTAGTAGGAGCAGCAGAAAGGTGGCGATCCATCGCAGCAGTACTCTATACAGCCTTCACACTGGGCTTCAGTACCTCCTGAAACACAAACATATCAGAGTTATCGGAAAGTTTTGAAATCAAAGTTATGAAGAAGTCCCAAGTGTCCACTGAAAACAAAAAACCCTTAAACTCTGAAGTCAGGTCACAAAGGGAACTTCTCATGAACCAGCCTCCCAGAAGAAGCCTCTATTTATACCTTCAAAGACTCATTTTTAAAAAAGTGTCAAGACGAGTCCAGAGAGCAGAGAAACACTTACCTGTGTTCAAAAAGAAACAATCAACACCTGTGGACAGTCCAGGGGGATTCTGGGGGGGATCGTGGGGTTCTGTTCACGTAAACCCAGCCTCCCTCTGCCGGTTTGTGTTATTGTTATCAAGATTTTTCATCTCTGTTTGGGTTTGGGAGCCAAATAGAAGCACCAGGGGAATGGAGTAAGTCTCCACCTACAGCGGGAACAGGTCGCTTTGAAGGAGTGAGTGTGGTTTGATCAAACGTTGCCATGTGACAGCCGTTCTCCGAGTTAATGAGCGGACGTGCTTGATTTAGTTTTCCGATTGGCGAGCGAATCAGCCGCGTGGCCGAGCAGCTGAAGCAAAACACCGCGAGGCCGCAAAAAAGAGAGGCCCGACGATGACGTCACCTGAGACGTCCCGGCTGTATCGACGAGTGCGGTCAATTGACGCTGCTCGATCCGGTTTGATGGATGAAACGCAGCGATGACGATGTGGGAGACACTTTGAAACACGTGACACAGCGTGGCTGACGTCTGGCTGCGTGGGGGTCAAACTCAATCTGACACACCGCCAAGATCAGGCACGATGATAACTGAACAATCCAACACGCTCGTTCATGCAGGATGACTTTGTGTGTTTGATGATTAATGTTACTCAGCCAAAAGCCTCCACATTCAAAAGGAGTGTACACACAGCTGCTCTGCTCCGTGTGCTCGTCTCAACCTGCTGCCAACACACGACGAGACTCTCTCATCCGAAAGTCTTCACCCCCCCCCCCCCCCCAAGCTGTGGGTTTCTGTGTCGCTTAGATGGTTTGGGAGTCTTGAGAAACACAAATGAGCGACGCTGCAGAAGAAAACAAGCTCTGTGCATGTGTGCGGATCTGCTTTCTCTCAGCAATCACTCACTCTCAAATGATGTGCGCCTGGAGGCATGTGTGCACCCCCCCCCCCCCCGGCGTGGGTTCACCCGGATTAAAAAAAGAAAACTCAAAGAGAGAGATCAGAGTGTTGCCTTGTATTTACTGCAGGAGGTAACACACAACACGCTCTGAAGTGGATCAGTGCATCACTTTTTTCCCCCAGCAGAAATGTCTTTTAAAATCTAATTCTAGAGCAACCAAGCCTTTTTTTTTTGCAGACAACTTAAGTTTTGATGGATGTGTATCTCATTATAGCGGTCAAAGTCAAGCCACCTTTTTAATTAAACACTACACTACACCCCCCCCCCCCCCGCATAAAAGCTGCAATACTTCCACGTAAATGCCTCCCAGCAGCAGACTCTGTCTGGGTGGTCCTCAGAGGTCCTGGCTCCTGTCTCTCCACACGCTGGGAGACAATGGCACCATGTCCTTTTACTCCCCCACCACCCAACCCAACTTTTCACACACACGTAGTTTTTCGTTTCCCCTGCCCCCCCCCCCTTTTCCAAAGAACTGTACTGCATGAATTCAAAGCTCCCATTTGGGTTGTGTGTAATTCATCCCATACGAGCACACATTTATCCAAAATCTATAAATACAAAAAAAAGATATTTGCAATGGTTTTGTACTCCATGCTCACATTTTACCCTTTGAATGGCAACCTGGGTATATTAGGCATGCTGGCACACTATTTTGATAAAGATAAACTTTATTGATCCTCCATGGGAGGTGTTTGTGTTCCAACAGCTCTAGAAAACAGGAAGCAGGAATATAATTATTAAAAATAACACGAAGTTAAAATGAAGTCAGATGAAGTTGAAACTCAGATTAATTTTGATTTTTTTTTTTAATAAAGCTCCTAATTTGAATTATTTTGGATCCACTGGGGACATTTATATAATAAATCACGAAAAACAGATAACAAAAACCCTGTTACATCTCATTAGTTTTGTTTACTTATCTCACATCTCGCGATATTTCACTATATGATCAGCACGTCTCATTTCTCTTATCTGCAGCGGTTGTCATGGTTTCTAAAAATACTTCTCCATGTGTGACTTCACTTTCCCGTCAGTGTCTCATTTTTCCAGAGTTAAAAAACCTTCACGGGAGTCGAGAGGATACACGACATGTGGAGCTGTGGGTGTCTGAGGAAGTTTTTGAGACTCACCTGTGAATAAACAAAGCAGCAGCGAGCTCCTCAGTAACTTCCATCTCACCTCCTGCGTCCTTCTCTTCCTCCTCCTGGGGGTTTCCATGACCCTGCTGCCCCCCCCCTTCCTTCCTCTTCACTTCCCAGCTTTTAAAGCCTATTGTTCTTCTGAGCAAAAGTCGATTATTTCCCAGTCACCTATTCGGCTCGTCTTGTCGCATTTTCAGCACAAACCCCAAAAACAAGAGCTCCAAAATGTTGGAAAGAAAAAAAAAAGAAAAAAGAAAAGTGAAGTTCCGTTTGTTCCTCCACGTGTGACCGTCTCTTCTGTCCTCCTCAAATGTTTCCACACCTCCGGCTGACTGCTGAGGTTTCTACCCCTCCCCCGGCGTCCCCCCCCCCTTTACTCAAATTACCCCACTGAGGAGACAGAAAGATAGACTGTGGGCTCAGTCAATCAACGACTTCCGGTGTATTTTTCAAAGTAAAACTACCATATTTATTTAATTCTAGCTTTCTCTTCACAAAACTTTTTTTTTTTTTTTACATTTTCTCATCGATAATAATCAAATCAACTTTATTTATATAGCACTTTAAACACAACATTGATTGATGCAAAGTGCTGAACATTGCAGAAACAAAGCATTAAAAAGTAACAGACATAAATAACAATTAATAAAATAATAATCTGGGTTCTCTTAATTTTTGGCATTTCAATAGTCAAAAAGCAAAGATGTCTGACCCTTTTTCTGTTCATGATACTTAAATTTTTGAATATAATTAATTCGGTTTTATTGACTAAATCCTGTTCTTTTTATTTCATTTCTTGGGGTTAAAGTGACAACACAATTTCCACCTATTAAAATGTCAATAGTAGGCATAATGAAAACACAGTTAATGAATATCTCCCCCCCCTCCCTAATTAATAAGCTGAATAATGTGGGGGGTTAGGGGTGTAGCTTATTAGACTTGCAAACGTGCTATTTTCTACATGTCTGACAAATGCTCTGATCATATCAGGAAAGAAACTAGTTGATATAAAAAAAAAATAGGCTATTTATAATAAATAACACCGAGTACAAGTTGAATTAGATAAGAAGTATCAATAATAGTTAAGATATATCTGATAAAGTCAACCTGTACTTTGAAAGGAGAATGACCTCTTTTCCGGACTTAAACTTAAGTCAATCTTTAACCTTTTAAGACGTAGTATTTTGATATGTGGACAAACTTGACGTGTAAAGGTGAACGTCTTATCATCGTTCCGTAGTGTGCATGCTCCTTCCTCCCAGCAGGTGACATCACGACCTGCACGAGACGAAAGAGGAATCAAGACCGTGACGACCCGGATGAGCCGGGGCAGGTACGACGTGTTGCTTCACACCTGAGTGTGGGAACAGAGTCACGGTTGTTTTCAGACACGCACAAACAAATAAACAGTGCTGACTTTAATTACACACAAACAGAAACACCTGGGATGAGAGGGGGTGAGGGGGGTGGGGGGGGTGGGGGTTCCTGGAAGTTAAATTGAAATATTTGCAAGTAGATGAGCTGCAGCAGACTCTGGTTTGGTTAGAAAAATCGATATTGGAATTTGTTTGATCCCCAATATCTGTATCAGTAGTGTTCCCACAATGGTCAGGCCTTTAAAACTTTCATTTTAGATACTAGAAATGTTAAGGGTTCAAATATAAGGCACTGTCACCATGGGGGGCATCGGGTCAGAATGCAGGAATCCAACAAGACTTGAGTTTATGTAATAGGTTTATTTATCTATTTTACACTTATGTGAATCATAAGGGTAACATAAGACACAAGAGATTGAACATCCATGCTGAAAAACAAAATAAAATAATATTACTACAATAAATAAGTCAAACTACTTTCTGAAAGGAAATAAAGTGCTTAGAACAAATTAAAACAGACTAGATATTAACTAAAACAGGAGTAAAAGCCACCTTACCATTGCTGAACTGCCACCCCATGTGAGGATGAAAACATGAGTATCAGGGAGTGCAGTCTTAAATCAGGAGTAGGCAGGTGAATTCAATCTAATTAATTAGTGACAGAGTGCAAACAACAACCAATCAAGAGGAGAGTGAGAAACCAGAAAGTGTGCTAAAGGAGGTGCAGTAGGAAAAGAGAGGCAGAGAAAGGGTGATCTTTACTACAAGAAATATGGTATTAGTTTGTGCTTTGTTGTGTTGTAGTCAAGACCACAGAAACCGAGACCAAGACATACCCGAGACCAGAGTGCTCTGAGACCGAGACAAGACCAAGAGCAGGGCCGGACCGAGTCACAACCAAGACAGAGACAAGACCAAGGCCATAAACATCACGACAAATGAACTGAAGTTACTCTTTTAGAAAGAGGTGTTTTCATTCTAATCGCAGTAATGACGTGGAGAAATAGCCCACCAGTCTTTGATTGAAAACCTGGAATCACGAGTCAAATGTGTAAAAGATGGCACTAAAGTAATGCAACTACTTAAACCAGAATGCAAATATAGTGTAATTAAACTACCAACCAAGCTGAGTCAAAATGCGGGTGTGCTACTAGTTTGGTTGACAAACCCTCAACAGTAGCACCTGTGTTCATTTCACAAAATGTGTCTTTCTGCATCTTCTGCTTTGGGCATCATGAAGTTAAAAATTAAGTAGAGAAAAAAGCTTTGATTTACAGCTTAAATATTACCTTTGTTGACAGAAGAAGAAGAAGGGGTAGACCACCAACCCCCGCTTACCTCCCTCTAATGCTTGTTCTAACCTGCAGGGACTAAACTACAGTCGTAAAAGTGGTAATTAAAGCGCTTAATGATAGTTCTGGAAAGGCTCCTCGTAGGCTGTGAACATTAGAAACCATTAAAAAAGGGCATCATGAAAACAATATAAAACCTAGTTCTTTACACATTTAAGTTTGGCGGTTTCGTTTAAAGGTGAAGTCTACCTGAGTGCTGCCTCTTTAAAGCTGTACGACTGAATTTAATCATCCAGAATTTAAACAAACTTTTTTTTTTTTTTTATGGGAAACCAAGGGTGGGCAAAAGGAGGAAGATAATTTAGTTCTCAGAAATGCCACCCACATTGAGCAGCGATGATTCATAAAGCCTTCCAGATGTTTCTTTGAAGCTGTAATGATGTGACTGAGACATGAACAAATAAGCAGGTAAAAGAAAAAAGTAGGCACAAGTCAAAGTGACCGTGTTAACGATGACATGTTGTGTGTTTTTCTTTTTCGCCGAGCGGGGAATCAGAGAGAGAGAGAGAGAGAGAGAGAGAGAGAGAGAGAGAGAGAGAGAGAGAGAGAGAGAGAGAGAGAGAGAGAGAGAGAGAGAGAGAGAGAGAGAGAGAGAGAGAGAGAGCAGTGATTTCTGCCCACAGCTTCTGGTAACACGTTATGCAGATTACAGAGATTGGCCCATCCCGTTCTTTAAGCAGCCCATAATTACAGGATAATGATTTCCTTTGTGCTGCAGCGGGGGAGCCAAGCTCATCTTTTCTCACAGGGCCAAAAAAACAAAACAGGAAACGCCACACATAGCAGGGGTGCACATTTGGGTGACCCTGGGGGTCCCAGAGAGGGAAGGGGGAAAATCCTGACCTCAGACGATTTACAGCAAAGCTAAAAAAGAAAAATCAGACATGAATGCAATCCAATTTGTTGGTATAGAGCCAAATTAAAGTGATTTCTGCTTTATCTGTTTATGAAGGACAGATGGTAAACTATACTGCTTTTTTATATTCAGGTCTAATTACTCAACTGTTCATAGGTTCTTATTCAAATTACACATATTTTTATCCCTGCACGCGTTATGTACATTTCTTGTATAAGTCTATTTTTAATTGCACAGTTTAAGTTTGATTCATCTAGAGGTAGGGGGGGGGGGGGGGGCGTCAGCTTTGTGGTTTAATTTTTAACAAATGTTTCATGTCATGTCTTTGTAACCTGCTACTGCATGCTTTGAATTTCCCTCGGGATCAATCAAATATCTATCTAAAGCTTTGATTCTGATTAGTGCCCAGAAGTGACAATCTACTATCATGTGTGGGTCTAGCTCTTATTTGTAGTAAATAACAGATGCATCCATGTGATTTTAATCCAGAGATGTTCCTTCTTTGGCATTAGGTGCTGAAATATCTAAGCACTATCTGAAATAAACACAGGATACTCGTTCCCTAATGAAAGGATTATCCCAATTAGGCCGCTCTGCTATACCCTACTGATTAGTTACATAACCCACCTCATGGCCCCTTGGGTGCCACCTCTGACAGACTCGACATCAACACTACCTTCTAATGTTGTAGTCTTCATACTTTACACCTTCTCCAAGCCACACTTCCTGGACTTTTCGTGCCATAATGAAGGCTGTGAAAATGTTTTTTGGCTTGATGAAATACTCCCATCTAGTGGACGAAACGTGAATTACAACCTCTTTTTTTCTACTTTCCACAACCAATTCAGGTCTCAACATAGACGTCAAAGGTCAGTGTGTTAAGGTTATTTATTTAATTTTAAGATTAGATGCTTAATTAAAGGGTAGGGTTTAGGTTGGGGATGCATTGTGAGATTAACCGTCTTCCCGGGTAGAGGCACACCTTTACTTAGAGGTGACGACAGAGCCGGTCACACCGCCAAAACTAGGGCGACGACCGCTCACTGACGGTCCAACAAGGACCGACGGCCGATGGCCGACGGCCTCCTTGGTGCGTCAGGGCCTTAAGACAAACCTTGTGTGGATATTTCTCCTACATTTGAATGTAGATTCGAAACAGTGGGATTTGGACATGTTCACAAACGGACTGTTATTGGGGTATGATTGGAAGTTAAAAGGAATATTTAAGGTGAGTATGTGGTGCGCCTTCAACGCCAAACAGACATATCACTCTGGAGACATAAGCTGCACATGTCAATGTGATACTTTATTCATGAACCTAGGACCATATATATATATATATATATATATAAAAAACACTGTATAAATACTCTATATACTCTACTCCCTTCTGTGATCTCAATAACAAATAAAAAATAATATTTAAAAGAAAGCCACATGATTATATTTAACAGGCTGTACAAAAATAAATAATGTTTGGATATTCTGTACAAAAGGAAAAGACACGATAGAAAACAAAAGATGCCTTCGCAGAAGGCAGGAGAGACTTACTTATGAAGTATTAGCAGGAGACAAGTCCCTCTTTAGGTCTCCACACACACACACACACACACACACACACACACACACACACACACACATACTCACTCACTAACACACACACTCACTCCTCTTTGGTCTGTGAAGAGTTCCCTCATTAAAGGCTGTGTAGTTGAGGGCAAGATATGGCTAAAGGACAAAGTACGGTGTACTGAGGCTTTTAGAGACAGCTGGGTGTTCAAATGTGCCACTGGCAAAAACAAAGATGAAGTGCTACAGGTCTGTGATAAATAAACTGGCAGTTTGAGCATAAACACTAGGACTATTTGCTATCGTATATTCCATACCTGATGGGCTGAGCAAGTAGAATATGAGCTCTTCTCATTCATTTGTTTCTTTATAAACTCTGCTATAACCTCCCCAACCCAAACCCCTGGATGTCCGTCCAGCCCAGCTTGGACAAACATCATTATATATGTATATATATATATAAAAAAAAGAAATCTCACATACTCTCAAACTCACACACTCAAGCGTTGGCACAGTAAGCAGCATGCTCCTTCAAAATCAGGAATGTCCATGCTTTCTCTAGCTCCCGGTGATGGGAGGTCAAATGTGCCGCTACTGCACTGAGGCAAGACAGACAGCAAGCTGTAATCAGTCTCTGCCGCTTGCGCCAGTTGGACCAGTTTCTGCCGCCTAAATGGATGGAGGTCTAAGGTAAAAAAGGAGCATTAACAGTCTTTATGGACCCATCGAACCAGTCAGAACTTGCAGCTTGCTGGTTCTGGATGTAAACATTCATCAGCCTCATGGGATTGTTCTTCGGGAAACGGAGGCAGTGAAGATCAAAGTTTTTATCTGGCTTTTGGAAACGGTCCTTAACAGGCACCCTGATTACACAGTTCCAGCAGGGGCCGTGGCCGGTCTTTGGAGTCACAGCTGTCGTGGGTTAGCGTGCGCCCGTCATGCCCGATGCAGCGCAGTTGGCGTTTGCGGAAGCCTCGCCCGCAGGTCTTTGAGCACGCCGACCATTCTCCCAGAAGCCAGGAGGGACAGGCCTGAGGGGCGCAGGATCTTGACGCCAATGGGCGCAGCTCCTCTGGGCAATCTCTGGACGGACGGCCCAGGGGATCTAAACACACCACCTCTCTCTGCTGCATACCGCCTCCGCAAGTCTGCGAGCATGGACCCCACTCCCTTAGGGTCCACTCGGCTCCAACCTCTCTGATGGCGTTGATGGACTGGCGGCGGCCTCCGTTATTGTTGCCCGAGCCTGAAGCAGCATTTTTGGGTCTGGGTGCAAAGTAGCTGTACTTAACTCTGGGTCTTGGAGCTTCTCCCACAGACAGCACCTGGATGGTAAGGGGCTCGGGGAGTGGGGCGAAGCTACGCAGGCGCTCCAGGGTGGCGGAGGAGCCACTGTATCGCAGCAGTGATCCCTGCAAGGCAATGTCAGTCTCCATGGTCATCAGCTTGTAATCTCCATTTAACAGGTAGGTTCCGTCCTGGCGGCGCACGGCCAAGTAGCTGTTATCGTTGCGCCCGTTGCCTGGAGCGCGTTGCTTGACATCTACGTGGGTGGCGCCAGCAGGGATAACTACAACGTCCTGATAACCAGGCCTGAAAAAGAAGCAGGTATGGTCAAAAAAACATGAACTATTCAGCTTATGTCTCGTTGCATGTTGTAGGAATTTGTTTGTGTGATGACCAAATTACCTTGCCCGCTCCAGAGAGCCGGAAACTTTCTTGCACGTAGAACCGTCTCCACCACACAAGCCACACTTATCAAAGCGCCTGTTGGATCCAATGACGCGATCACATCCAGCCTTCACACACTGGCCTTGGACGCAGACTGAGGTGGAGTCCGGACTGCAGGGTGTACCGTCAGCCACCTTGGGGCAGCAAAGAAACACAAATGAATCACTATAGTTGTGTCTTTTAAGACTGTTACATAAGAGTCAAAAGGATGGAAAGTAAAAGTCTCTTCCTCAGCAAGACGGTAGCTTCAGGGCGGAGAGAAATTATAATAGCCAATCCTTCAACTTGCAGGTCTGCACAAGTAGCAGACCTGTTCTAAGATAAACTAAGACTCAGGAAA